ACAAGCAAGTTATAACATCATATCTTGATTTTAAGAGTCCATAAATAGGATAGTATCCTTGCACATAAAAGACCTTACTGGAAGCAGTCAATGTTATAAGGTTGATCAATATCAGTCAATCAAAATTTATTTACGGTTGAAGAACAAACATGTTGATCAGAGTGAGAAAAACTTGGTAAGTTAGAACTACTTGAATCATATGCATCCAGCTTTCAATACTCAGCTCCTCTCGTGGTTTTGGTCAAGTGTTTTGCTGCCAAGAATCAAAAGACAAGGGAATAAGAACTTACCTTCCGATCTGAAATGTTTAATTGATGACTGGCATTGTTTGATTGATCAAAGCTTGCAATGGTCTAGTACAAAGGCACCAAGAGGATATTGCCAGGAATCAAATCAACAACACATTTCTCCTCTGAGAACTCTAATCCAGCTTCTTCTTCAACTGCTTTATAATAAATCAGCCCCAGAGCATTGGTCTACTTAGTCATATTTGTCGCTACTCTGTCTAGCAGTAGTGATCTCAGATCTCTGTCTAAGGACTTCTGTCAGTTCTGTCAACTTTTTAATTAAAACTGTTAGGGACTTACCTTCAGGCTATCTGCATGCCACAATATTGGTAGAGTTCACTGGGAGTTTTGCAATATATATCATTGTAATGACATCACCTAATGCTTTGGAGATAATGTTTTACCATGTATCTTGCATCCCTAAGTTTTTTACTCTTGAATATTGTTTTAAAATAATAATAGTTATTAATGTTTTAGTGATACCAGAAAAACAATTTTAAAGTAATCAGAATGGCCATATCAATATTTATTGAAATTCTGGAAATAAAAATCCATTAGTGTGGAGAAAATTCCTGGCAAGGACTGACATGAGACAACATGAACTTCACAGATACATTCAGAGAACAAGTAACTAACTGCACAGTTTAAAGAGTTGAATGGATTCAAATGCCAGGTTGCTGCAGAACATAATGGTAATACAAATATTCAGACACTACAGTTGTCTCATTACAAACACTGAAACAACAATAAGAAACCAGCCAAAGCCAAAACCTTTGCATTTTAGTCTGCTTTTACTAATAGGTAATCAATAAAGCAACTGTAAGTTACTGTCTTGTTACAAAGTGGTTAACAATTAACATTTATTTTGCAAACTTGGGCAATCAGATGAATTCCTGGAATCTCAGATGTTGGCTAATGTGTGTGATAATTGTATGTGACTTTGTCCAATAATCATTCTTGGTTCTTAACATCCACTTGAATGATCTGGTTGTGTATACTAAAAATTGTGCTCTGTGAGTGGTTTTCAGCTTTAAAAATGACATCCGCCATGGAGTTTCAACAAAAAAGTTAAGGATTTTACATGATACTGATGTGAAAAGTCTGGATTAAATAATTTTCCAATTAGCCTTAAATATCACAGATGATTATTTGAATTTTTAAAGCAATCTTCTTGTTTTTATAGGAAATACAAAGTGAACCATCAATGTAAGTTCCCTAAGGTAGAGCTGTTAGTAGTTGCCACTGGAGAATCACGGGAGTACTTGGCTTCATCAAATTTCTCAGCTTCATATCCCCACTATAATGGCCTGTACAAGAATTCTAGACTTGTTCTAGAGAAATTAGAAAATAATTGTCAATACTACGTATTAACATATGCAGGGCATCAAAGATGGAGACATTTAAAACATTCAATAAGGTGAACACATTTGACTTTTTGGTACCAAGATAAAAGGTTTATTTAATATACTGTGGGCCTAGATACTAAGAGTATGTTGTATGCAGACAATAGCTTGGCTTATTTAGTGAAACTTCTGACTTTGCTTTCTCTTTTAATAGCAGATTCTCAATTTTATCTTGAAGCCCCTTTCACCATATTATAAGTTTCTAATTTTGCATGAATATGCAGAAGTCCAACTCATTCACATCTGTAAAGTGAACTGGATGAGCTGGGACTCAACTAATAGGCTACTTTGATTTCTACTTCTACTGATGTTACCTCTCAGTACAATTGAATTATCCATGTTATTAATAGCAGGTAATTGCAGAAATAAGATAGGAGTAAGTAACTATTTGTAGTCAAAGAAATACTTTTTTATATAAGCAAAGATGATTTATCCTTTGTCTCTTCTGCCCACTCTCCATTAAAAGTCTGGCATTTAAAAACAACCAAATTCACATGGTGATAAAATAGTCTAATGCTAATACTACAGACATAAGTATTGTCTTTGGTATACAATGTCCACTGCTTAAAAAAATGTCCAGATAAGAGTATCTCTCTCTGTTCACATAAAACAAAGAGAAGTGCTAATCACAAAATTTACAATAGATTTTAAATAAACAACATTTAGGATTATGAAAATGTATAAACATTTAATCAAAAAACCTGATTTTAAACTGAAAAGTCCCTTGAATGTCCCTGAACTATGAACTATGAGTTGAAGACATGCTGTAATAAACATATATATTTGGTTTCTTTATTCTGCCTATATTTTTATATAAAGATGAAACCGAGGAACAATAAATTAGCATCACAATTGTCTACAATGAAAATGGTGTTATACAATATAAATAAACTATTTAAAAGCCAGCAATCTTTATGAAAACAAATGGACAAATAAACAAGGCTTGTGGATTAGAAGTTTGATACAATTTCTACAAATGATTGTACAGCCAATAACCCAAACAGAAAAATAAAGTAATTAACACATACATGAGATTCTCCTTTTGATTTTAGTGTCTCACGACATACAGTAATTAAGTACTGGTAAAGCTAGTTACCAATCTAGAAAGCAACATTAAGGAAACCATGGTTTTGCAATATTATCATGGGTTTTCCCCCTCCCCCCAGAACCTCACAAATGTAAACACAATAAACTTTATTTTCTTCAGTCTGTAAAGTATTAATACTTCCACCCAAAACAAGTTTGATCCACATTTGTACAGTTACCATTCAAAATTCTGAAATAAGGCAAAGCTTTCATTATGGTGGCAAATTTCATAATACTGATAACTTCATTTTGGATAGAATTATTTGTCCTTCTCTGATATTTGTTCTGCAGTGGACTTTGGTTTTACATAGATTTGGCAGTATCACTCTTCATTTAGCACACCAAAGTTTTTTTTGCTTTAATTCTTGTTTTTAAAATGTGTTTTTGGTTCCATAGGATATACAAAAAGGATGCAGATTTTTCAAACTACCACTAATAAGAACCAACTGCTGAATTTCATCAGTTGATCTATTTGTATCAATAGGACTAACTTGTTACTGACTTTCAAAAATATTTGACTCCAAAGTAAGATAAAGCTGAAGAACTTGGTTTTCTGAATGGATAAGGTGAAACAGACAAGAGAATACTGTGGAGATGCTCAGTCATCCAGGTCATAGTTGTTGCAAAGGTATTGTTTTTTCTTCAAAAGGCAACTGGGCTAGTTTTTCCTTGAGGAAGAAGAAGAAAACATTTTGGATAAGAGGCAAAACATTTTCTTCTTTTCCACAGTTCAGTTGCCTTTCAAAGAAACAAGCACCTTTGAGGACAATATTACTTGGTATATTGTGCCTCCTCGCATAAGGGAAGTTCTGGAGCTTTCAAAAATACATCAAGAATGTGAGATTAAAAAGGAGACATAGAGATCTGAGCAGGCAATCAAAGCAGAATGAAGTTATTAGTTGATAGTGAGGGCATAAATGGATAGCTTTTAGGGCCAAATTCTGACAAAAGCACATTAAAACCAAACATTAGTTAGGCCAGCTCAGAAGCCATGACTAGCTTCTGCTGCCTAGCATCCTTAATCAACTTGTCTCAGAAGATTCTGGGTATTTAAAATTCCTCACAATGTCTCCGTCTCCTATTGTTCCGATAAAAGTTCACTGAAATTTAATATTGTGCCTCTTCCATTGCCATGAGTTATTCAGTCTTTCTGAGCCAAGGGCCTGCTAAAATAAGAGTCCCAGGAAAACAATCTGAAGATGGTTTCCTTAAATCTGAAAGTGCCTGTATCTGACATTCATTCCACCCCACACCCTCAAACTCTGATAACTAGTTTTATTAGTTAGACAGTGAATTCAGCCTACTGTCTAGTATGGCCATCCAGATACCTTTAATCCTTTGCTCTGTAGTAGGAAAACTAGGATGCTAGGCGTACAATTGACCTGAAGACTCCAAAGTTATGCTAGCCTACTCTTGAATTGCATACGCACTGCAGATGGTTCATGAAGAACTCCCACTGAGAGATATGTGGGAAAAGAAAGAAATCAAAAGAAAAACAGACAGTGGGATATTAACTGAATTCATTAATCTGAATTCTCTCCGAATCCAGACTGGAGTTCAAGTGTAACAAGTAAAGAGATGCTTCTGCTTGAAGTTTTAATTTAGGCTGAGGTTAAATAGTAGCCACAAGTTGATCTGGCACTAAAAGCTTTGAGAAGTGATTCCAGTAATGTTTAATTTGAGCCTGGAATTAAAGTCCATCAATTGCTTTGGAGCAGCTATCTTCTAAAATTTGGTCTGTGGTAGAAGAGGGATACTGCCTGGCTGAACAACATGAACCCAATGACAAAAGTAACCATAGAAAACATTAAGAATGTCATGCTAATCTTATGAATAAAATCATTTTCTCATAATAATAATTTTTCTCATGTTTGTTATCTGCAGGTCGCACTCACAGATGGATGAAAATCCAGGCTATATTTATTTGCTTGCTTGTGACACTATTCTGTATGCATATGCACGTGTGAGTGTGTGGCTCACTCCAGATTTTTTAATATAGTGTAGATATATAGATTCCTTTCGGAAGGAAAAATAAGAATTCAGTCTTTGGAAATACGACACAGGGAAACTGCAGTGTTGCATCCTTTAGATGTGTTTTCAGTCCTGCTAACCAGTGAAGGGTTGTAGTGCGTGCAGATCCCTTTGATCTGTTAGCTGAATAACACAGATAAAACTTGCTCCTAAATTTATTCATAGTGGTAACTGGCAAAGTTTTTTTTTTAAAGTATAAGCATTGTTCTTTCCTTTCCATTTTTTTTTTGCCTTTATTGATATTGATGTTGGTAGCCTTTCCGCTTGCAAATCTCCTTTTATTCAAGTCCTATACAAGTTCCTTCGGGGAGTCTGTGTAGCATTTCATTCACAGTTGGCAATGCAAATACCCTGATACATCACTTATTTACTATTAGAATTTGATTATTATAACATTAATATTTTTTTTTGCAAAGTTGCTTTTAAACCAAGTTATTTCAATTGATGTCACTCGGACAACAACTTTTAGAGTATTTTTCTTTTCTTTTTGGAAAAGCAGAAACTGTATCAAAGGCTATCATTTATGCTCTCTTTGCATGCAGCATTTCAATGAGAAGGTTATTACATGGCACATCCCCGTTTAAGTGTTTATAGTAAAGGTACTCTTCAGCCTGCATGCTGATCGCCCGGATTTCTGGGAGTCGCAGGAGAAGTTGCCCAAATTTGTCTGTCTGCTGTGGATAGTTGCACATGGTATAGTCCAGCAAAGCAGCATTCACTTGCTCTTGAACACCTTCTACCAGCTGGAAGTTCTCTAGGTTTTTGACATCTGAATAAAAAAAATAATAATAATAAAAGATTATGATCATAGCATAATTGTGATGTTTATACAGGTAGTCGTCCTAGACTTAGAACAGTTCAATTAGTGACCATTGAAAGTAACAGTGGCACTGAAAAAAGTGACTTAGGACCATTTTTCACACTTATGACCACTGCAGCACCCCCGTAGTCATGTGATGAAAATTCAGGCGCTTGGCAACTGACTCATATATATGACAGTTGCAGCAAAGTCAATGGGGAAGCCAGATTCGCTTAACAAACATGTTACTAACTTAACAACTGCAGTGATTCACCTAACTGTGGTAAGAAAGGTCATAAAATGGGTCAAAATTCACCTAACAAATGTTTAACGTAACACATGTTAGGCGTAAGTTGAGGACTACCTGTACTTGATTATTAAAATGGTATTTCACTAATATGCTTAACTCAGCATAAACAAATGGTTTTCATGCTCCTATATATTAGTTGAACCTTTCTGCCAAGTTTCTTGAAGACCAAATAAAAAAACAAAACAAAAACATAAAAACCCACCACAACTTAACTTTAGAATGTCATGTTGAAATTCAGCATAAATCTTAGATCATTGAGATATCAATGGATTTTTGTAACAAGGTCATCTCTTTCTTTTCCATGTATCTTGTGGAGAAAAAGGTTGAAGAATGTCTAACATTCAGAATTGTAATATATAGTTGGCAAATGAGTCCCCTGAGAGGAAGGCGTACCTTTAACCGATTTCATATAATTCTGTATTAATTCTTCTGATCCAAGGTGAAATCTCTGTCCAGGGCATGCTGTAGTTAATTCTAATAAAAAGTGACAGGCTTCTTGTTTCTTTTTTGACGTTTTTCTAAATTATTCTGAAAGACTTTGACTTGTCCATTCTGATGCTAATGAGCCATCTGGAACATTCCAGTGACTGCCAAAATAACCTGCCTGACCCAAAAATGTGTGTGCATGTGTCTGTTTCTGAATTCTGCAAATATTGCCCTTTAGGCAAACTGAGAAGAGCTATTAGTGTTCTTTGAATATTGATAATGACCTTCTTCCTATTGGATGGTTTAAAAATGTTTAGACTCAGGATATGACATAGTTTGCAAATATTTTCATTTATTTCTTTTATTATATTTATCCCTTTACTTCCCTATCAACTACTCTGAATTCCTGGTACAAAGCATTGCCCACAAATAATTTCCCTTACGGCTTATGGCTCTTATAGACTGTCTTCAGTCCAGGATTTCTTAGGCTGTGAAATAACCTGAAATACAATTCTGGAATTCACTCAGGCATAATCTTTGTCTAATACAAATTATGCTGGTCAATCTTAGATACAAGTGGATTCTCTACATGTTTAATTTCTTTGGGACACAAATCTGTGGTGCTGTTCAAGTGCAGCTCTTTCAGTTTTCCTTTTAAACTCAATACTGTCTCCTTTACTGTCTCTGGCCAGGAAATGACAGGTAAATCCATCCTTTAATAACATTTCATTTGAGGTAAAGCAAGAGTTAATTTGATGTAGTGGTTTATGCAGCATTGTGAGTTCTAGCTTTGTCTTAGACATGGAAGTCAGCTAGGTAATTTTGGTCCAGTCACTCTCTCTTAGCCCTAGAATGAAGACAATGACAAACCACTTTTGAAGATGTTAAGAAATCTTCAAGGACTAGACAATGCTAACTTGAATGCATAAAATAAAAAAAAAGTATAGTATACAATTGAAACATTTTTATGCGTCTGCAGGATTGTACAGATCCATGTGAACATATACACAGGTATGTAGTTCTTGACTGTGTGCTAAAGAAAGTCACTTTGGACAAATCTCCTATTTGGGTATTAGGGTTACCAAAAGGGAAATCAAATATTTTTCCATTGCATGTGAATTCTTGTGAATGTCTCCCAGTTCCTTCTATTTGAATCAATAAAACCATATTTCTTTTATTGTGTGGCTGATTGTACTATGTGATGTTTCAGCCCACAGCAAAATCCTTCAAAACAATGGAATGTGCATGTATAAAGATGGCACTGGATGTATGACAGATGTTTCACATCTGGAAGGGTCCTTCATTTGTAAAGTATTCCCAGCCTTGAAGGTCGTGTTACTAGACTTCAGGCAAAACATGTTTGCTCTATAGCTATTGGCAATAAAGACAACTCTTAAGAAAAAAAAGTAACCCCTTATCCTAGACTAGATTGATCATGCACTCAAATGCTCCATGAGCATTCAGTTGCAATGTCCCACAATCCTATTTGATATTGGAATTTGTTGATAATTTTGCACTGAAAATATGCGGCTTTTCTTTTTCTAAAAATAACTTGTTCCTTTTTTCTTTTTTTTTAAACAAAAGCAATGTCATGAAAAAAACAGTTTGGTAAGACTAACTGAAAGGAAAATATTAAATAAATGGTGTTTCTAAAAGAACGTTTGGTGGCTTTTACCCAGATTACCTTTAACCCAAAACTCATTCTAAGATGAGTTATTCAACTACTTGAATACCCTCAGCCTAACTCTGCAATGCCTTAAATTGTTGATTAACTGATCTTAATTAAATTGGGTGATTATATGATAAAAGAATAGAAATTTGGATATCTACACCAAAAAAAATACTTGTGTAATTGAGGCTTTACAATGTCTTTTAGGTACACTTACTGCTGCAAAGAGCTTTGATTTATTTACAAAAAATGATTCATCTTCTGGAATAAAAAAAGCCCCTGTGAAAACATAATGGCAGTCTTGGGGAAATACAATGCATTGCCAGCAGGACTCTTTTGGTGTTAGCACTGCCAAGAAATCAAATCTGTTACTTTAACAAAGTAATCTTTGGAATTTAAAACTCTTTTTTTTCTCTCCCAATGTCCAAGTTCTTGGTAAATGGAGGCAGAGAATGGAGAATTCATGAGTTATGCATAATCTAAGAAATCAGCATTTTCAAGGTTTGAAAGGCTTGTGCCAAGAAAGGCTTTCTTGCTGTATGCTCTTTCAATTCAAAGCACAAGAAAAGGAAAAATAGTACCAACCTCTTATCTCTTCCACTTTATTCACTCAGGGACTAATTAGCCATTTTTAAAATATGAAATTCAGTCTTACTGAATGTTCACAGTGGGACATATCTCTTTTCCCATCCTTACAGGCAAGTAAACCCTGAAGTCTTGTACAATATATTGTATTTTTGCAAGCTCTTGCAATAGTATTTTTGTCAAACACAGACTATACCCTTTCTATAATTTACTTCTAAAGATCAGTTTTTTAAAAAAGAAAAATTAAAATGCCATTCTCAGTCATTGTAGAAGTCTGCCAGCAACTTCTTAAAATTCCTATTTCTGACAGTTTATCCCTTCATCACAAAATAAAGATGCTTAGCTCAAAGTCTGCATATTAAATATGAACAGAAAAGAGCATGATCTCATTTTTTGTCAGTAAAAACACAATGGGTCTTAGCCTTCAGAGAAGAAAACTATTTAGGTTTCACAGAAGCTTCCTTTCCTCATATTTGAAGCGCTGTAATTCAGTGCAGAATTAATTGATAGAAAATTCATGTAGTTTGCAAATTCTGAAAAGGGAAATTAAAAGTGAATGGCAAGTTATATTTTGAAAAGTGGCTGCTGTTGGGTAAGTAGTTTCCAAAGAAAAATAACTATATTTACTGCCGAACTTAGACATCTGACTGCTGTTCTCAAGGAACCTAAGGTTCTTCATCCTCAGTTATATTGGTTTATAGTTGAAATGCTATAAAGAAAGTGATGTCTTGTTTTATATCATTATTTAGAAGATTGGCACCATCTTCTTAAAAGATTGGCATAACTTAAAAAGTAAAATAAAAGCACAGTGGGAAGTACAGGCAAAAATACCTGTTAATAAAGCACAATACTAAAACAAGCATTAAAAAAAACCTGAGGTGAAAAAAAAATCTCCTCTTAAACTATAATAAGGAGAAGATTTGTTTCTGATTGAGGGGGAATTAGTTGCTTACTCTGAGCTCTGCCAAAAGAAAGTAGAAATGATCATTGATACAACATGAACCTACACTGAAGTTTGGTGTAGTGGCTAAGATGCAGCCTAAAAACTAGGAGATTGTGGGTTTTAGTTTCACGTTAGGCACAAAGAGAGTCTGACTTTGGGCCAGTCACTCTGTTTCAGCCCATAGGAAGGAGGTAATGGCAAATTTCACTTCTGGAAAACCTTTGCAAGAAAAGTGCAGGAATTAGATCAGGCAGTCACCAGTGGCCACACCAACTCGAAGTTATAAACATGCATACATGCATGTCCTGCTAATGAGTCGAGTGTGGGGTGGACCATATAAACCTGCAAAGCTTTTATGAGCATAATGAATTGGGACTGGAGGGTAACCGTGAAGCTGTTTCAACATGGGGAAGCGTGCAACCTCACAGAAGCCCTACTCAGCTACATTGCTACCACATTCTGGACCATTTGCAATTTCTAGACTAAGAAATTTAAGGATTGTTCTATGCCCTTCTCAGCCTTGAGACTATCAGCAAACGAATAATGAGTTCTGAGCTCTGAAGTTACCAACACGCAACTACATGAATGTCAAAGCCAGGCCTCTTTTGGGGGTAAAGACACCTCAGTTTTATCAATCAAATTTAATTAGAGAAAGTAGTGAATTCACCTAATCAAATATTATATAGCAAATACATGCTAATAATAAAAGTCTCATAAATTAGGGTAGTTTACAAGTATTATAAAGCAAATAAAGAAATAAATATATAAACAAATGAACAAATAAATAGTACTAGGGGTTTTGTGGTGGTGTTGGCATGAGCAACAGCCAATGAAGGCAATTGAAATCAATCAATGCGATAACAAAGAGCACTTTATCAACAATCCTCCGTCCCCCCATTTCTTTTCCATTTCTAAAGATGTCTGTCAAAGACCTGTAGGAGTCACAAATTAACAGCTCCAAAGGATATATTCTAATTCAGCAATTGTCAAAGTGTGATCTGGGTGTCTTTAAGAACCTTTCAGGAAGTCTGCAAAGT